ATGCCTCGAGGCTCGGACCAAAGAAAACATAAATGGATTAAGGCTTTTGCAGAACAGCCCAGTAGGCCCTAGGAATACAATAGAAGCCTGGAAGCAAAATCTTTGATTTGCAACAAAGATTGTACTGTGGAGTAGTGGAGAAGGAATGGTTAAGTGTTGCTGGTGAAATTGAATATCCTAAGAGAAAAGAAAGGAAAAAAAAAAACTTCATCCTGGTCTCATACACCATAAACACAAATCAACTCCAGTTGAATTGTAGATCAAAATGTGAAAGGAACCACAGTCAACACTTAGAAGGTAATCTAGGAGAATATTTTCTTGATCTCAGTGTAGGGAAAGATAAATAGGACACACAAACACTAATAAAGGAAAACATTGCTAAGTTTTGACTGCATTAAAATTAAGAACTTTGATTCATCAAAGGACAGCATTAGAAGAGTAAAAAGGTAAATCACAGAGTAGAAGCAGGTGTTTATAACACATACAATTGATAAAACTTTGTATAGAGAGCTCATAAATAATAAAAAGACAATTCAACTCTCAGCTTTTGGCCTGGAGGAGGCCAGGGTGCGACTTTGTTCAGTTGTCCCTGGTCCAAATTCAGCTGACACCAGCTGCCTGGACGCCACAACCCCTTGTTTCTTTTTGCTTGATGCATTGCTTGAATGCATCATTTTCTGTCCCTGACAGTTGTCTGCTTAGCCATCTGCTTTTGTGTGGCGTGTGAAGGCTTCTCACGAAAGGTAGGCTCAGCCCCTGACCCAACTGAGGCTCTTCACAGAGACCTAACTGAGTCTGTTTTGGTCTCTGGTATTAACCCCAGATTTTGAGGAAGAGAACTGGACGCTTTGGGGCAAATATTCACCCAAAAACAATGGCCAGCATTATGTCTCTTGGTCACAGGACTGCATGGAAAGTTTTTTTTTTTAATAATTAAAATTTGTATATTTATTTTTGGCTGTGCTGGGTCTTTGTTGCTGTGCAGGTTTTCTCTAGTTGTGGTGCACGGGCTTCTCATTGCAGTGACTTTTCTGGTTGCCAAGCATGGGCTCTAGGCATGTGGGCTTCAGTACTTGTGGGCCATGGGCTCAGTAGTTGCAGCTCCCGGGCTCCAAAGCACAGGCTCAGTACTTGTGGCGCACGGGCTTAGTTGCTCCGTGGCATGTGGGATCTTCCCAGACCAGGGATAGAACCCATGTCTGGTGCATTGGCAGGTGGATTCTTTACCACTGAGCCACCAGGGAGGTCCTAGAGAAAGTTCTTTTTTTTTTTTTTGAGAAAGTTCTTAAGAAAGAGTTGTGAACATCTCTAATATAACCTCATTCTCTGTATAACAGTGAAAGAGCTGAAACAATCTGTAGCTCTAATAGCAGAGGCTTGGGGATTGGTTAAAGAAATTATGGTACAGCATATGGGATAATATGCAACCGTTTATAATTATTTTTTCAGCCCGAGGAATTTCCAGGGGTCGAGCGATTAGGACTCCATGCTTTCACTGCCAAGGGCACAGGGTTCAATCCTTGATCAGGAACTAAGATCCCACAATGTGACCAAAAAAAAAAAAAAAGAAAATTTTCTTTAGTCCAATTTTATTGACACTGAAAAATGTTCATAAATCATGTTCACTAATACTACGTACATTTCAGAAATATAAGTATATAAACATAATTTGTATATAAATATTTATATAACATATACACATATAAATATTATATATACATTTTTATTTGTACTGAACCCTAGAATAAGAAGCTATGAAACATTAATGGAATAGTTAATGAAAAGCTATATTAATACCAGAGCTAGTAGGTACTACAGTCCAACAGATCAAAAGATCATGGTACACAATTGTCCATTAGAACCTGTGGTCTCCATGCCCCACACAAAGTTGATGGTTGTGAATAGAGGGGGAATATATAAATATATAGATGTATACATGTATATGTTTATCTATGTGCACATATACATGCGTGTGTGTATATATATACACATGTGCACATATACATGTGTGTATATATGTGTGTGTGTGTGTGTGTATCTATATATACATGTGTATATATACATGTATTTCTGAAAGGACATGCACCAAAAGGTTAACAATGGTTATTTTTGTCTAGTGGGATTGTGTTTGGTTTTTTCTTTGTTTTGTTTTCTGTTTCCTGATTTTTCTACACTGAATAATGGACTGCTTGTATATTGAAGTCCAGAAGGGTAACTGCAAAATGTTTTCTTACCTGTATTTAACTTGTTAGACAAAGAGCAAAGCATGTGTTTGTGTCATTTCAATACTCTGTGCTGTGTTTAATCACTCAGTCATGTCTAACTCTTTGTGACCCCATGGACTGTAGCCCGCCAGTCTCCTCTGTCCATGGAATTCTCCAGGCAAGACTACTGGAGTGGGTAGCCTATCCCTTCTGCTGGGGATCTTCCCAACCCAGGAATCAAACTGGGGTCTTCTGCATTGCAGGCAGATTCTTTACCAGCCGAGCTACCAGGGAAGCCCTTCAACAACCTAATTTAAAATAGATAATACAGATATTTAAAGTTCTGCATTGAAGTTAAAAATCTTCCAAAAATCTGTTTCAAAAATAGAGTCTAGGAGATGCTAAACTTGGAATAAGTTTATTTTTACAAGCCCTTGGAGATCTCGATTGATTTATTTAGGGCAACGGGGTAAGTTTGCAGTTAAAAAAAAAAAATTCTAGTGCCCAGTTAATATATTACATTAAGAAATACCGTGTCCTTATTAAGAGATGATTGTGTCAGTGTACTCTGCATGGTTTAGAACACATCTGAAAAAGTTGCCCATTTTAGCTCTTTACTTGCAACGGAACAAAGAGGAACAACAAAATGAGGCTGGCACCATCAGAGGTTGTCTGAGGGATGATGGAGAGAACTAGAGGTGGTTGGCCTGAGAAGGAACTTGCAGGAAATGTGATAGCAGGCTGTAAATATTTGAAAGGATATTGTGGGGAGTAGCAATCAAAGAGCAGAATTTATTAGGAAGGAAATTTTACTTAGGTCAACATAGGAAAGAGCTTTCTATTCTCATTATCTCTCGGTGAACAGGGCCTCTTCACAGACTGCTGGACCCTGGGAAACAGACTGGGGACCCTGGGGATTTTTGTCTTAGACCCAGTTCCTTTGTGGAGAGGTGTGAGAAAACCTCAGTCCTCCTCTGTTTCTCCTTCCCTCTGTTGCATTCCCACGCTCCCAACACTTCTGATCCTAGATGTATGGAGTACTTTTCCATGCACTGAGCAATTCTGCACCACCACCTGGGTGTCCTACAGTTGAACTCAATGTTAAACACTCTCTACCTGGAGATAGTGTCAGACGCCAGTGGTTGAGGGCTCAGTCCTACGGGACTGCTTCTACCCCGCTTCAAATGCCAAACAGCAGTAGTAGGTCCCCAGGTTACCCACAACTTCCATCAGATGTGATTACAAACTAGAGGTTCCCACAACCTCCTCCCCCTTGGATTTGCTTATTTGCTAGAACAAGTCAGAGAACTCAAAGAAACACTTAGGTTTACCAGTTTATTAAAAGATATGGTAAAGGTTACAGATGAACAGTCAGATACAGAGGGCGAGGTCTGGGAGGGTCCCAAACAGAGGAGCTTGTCTCCCTGTGAACCTGGGGTGGGTCACCCTTCTGGTATAGAGACATGTTCACTGAACTGGCAGCTCTCCAAAGCCAGTACTTTTGGGATTTTTAATGGGGGCTTCATAATGTAAGTGGGATCCATCACTGATTCCATCTTTGGTCCCTCTCCTCTTTCAGGAGAGTGGATGGTGGGTGCTGAAAATCCCAAGCTTCTAACCATAGCTTGGTCTTTCTGGCTACCAGCTCCCATCCAGGAGCCCAAGAGTCACCTCATTAGAACAGGAGACACTTATCACCCAGGAAACTCCACAAGATTAAGGAACTCCGTGTCAGGAACCAAAGTCAAAGACCAAATATTAGAACAAAAGGTAACTCCTAGTGGTCTAATCACTTAGGGAATTGAAAGGTTTTAGTTCTGTGCCAGGAACTAGGGGCAGAAACTAATATATGTATGTATTTTCTATTATCTCACAGGAAATTTGGTTGCAAAAGCTCTAAGGTCTTTCCACTTACGAGTTGACAAAACAAAACTGATCCTATTCACATACAAAAAAAAAAAAAGACAAAAGTTGAATCACAAATATTTGCTTGTCATTTATACTTTAATATTGCTACCAAACTCTGAAATTTTCAGTGTTTGAGGTTTACATCAATGAGTTGTATTTTATATTGAGAAGTGAACTTTGGGCTTCAGTTTCTCACTGTCTTTACTGGAGGAGGTTCACCAGGCGTTATCTAAACACACTGAACCAAATGCTTTTCTGAGTGCTCACAGAAAGGCTAAATGAACACATTGTAAAACTTGGTAGCACCTGATGGTTAGGTTAATTGCCTGGGCTTGCATCCTCTCTCTCTGCTTTCCTTTGCTTGCTTGCAAAGTGGCAATGATAGTACCCGCCTTAGGCTTGTTGTGAACCTTGTCTTCATGGCACATTTCACCTATATTTTCCTTGAGGATGCCCAGCAGTTACTCAGTAAGTCATTGCGGAGTGAGTAAATAATGAAATGACAAAAGTCCTTTACCTTATCCTGAATACAGCGATGTGAGCTGGTCGAATGTAGAGGTGGCACTCTGCTGTGGCACTGAATTCCAGTTCATTCTACATGTCTGTGAAATGTGATCCTTGAATTAGGATTAATTTTGTGGGTACTTGTTTTGGGAAATGACTTTTTTATGAGTGGGTTATAACAGTCTTGAGAATTCTTAGATATGAAGACATGAGTAATATATGTGCTGGGCCTTCCAGAGTATAAAGTTTGTGCCTAGAATATTTTTAGAAAGAGGAAGTTAGTTGAAACTGCCAGGTTTTTTGTTTTTTTTTTTTTGAAGATACAAGATAATTTTGATTGTGTTCCCTCTAGAATACTGAATTTTTCTTCCCATGATTTTCCAGAGAATGAAGATCTAGAAAACACCAAGGTCACCTCTCTAGCAGCTTCTGCTTCTGACCCAGAGCTCCATTCCTCACCCTACAGGTAGGGACTGCAACGACTTTGGATATTATGCTTCTCGGGGTTTTATCTTCTGAGGTCGTAATTGATGAAAGAAGTAAACAGCAGCTTCAAGGGGGAAGATAAGTTAAAGTGAAGAGTTTGGAGTGTTTTGTCATTAATTATTCAATCCTTAAGCGTATTAGGGCTTCCTCAGTGGCTCAGTGGTAAAGAATCTGCCTGCAGTGCAGGAGACTTGCAGGAGATACTGTTTTGATCCCTGGCTCAGGAAGATCCCCTGGAGGAGGAACTGGCAACCCAATCCAGTATTCTTGCCAGAAGAATCCTATGGACAGAGGAGCCTGGCGGGCTACAGTCCATAGGATTGCAAAGAGTCGGACACAACTGAGCGACTGAACAACAAAGTGTGTTTCTCATTTTATAAAGAAACAAAAATGTTTCTCATTTTATAAAGAAACAAAAATGTTTCTCATTTTATAAAGTTTTCTTTTACTCTCAGAGAATAAAACCGTAACAAATAGTGTAGTATCTTCATTTATCTCCTCTTGAAGACCAGGTTCAAACATTAAAACATTAGAGATAGATTTAGACTTTCAAGAGAATGTGTGTTTGGTTTTTACCCATAAAATTCACATACACGCAGAAGTACAGCATTGGAGGCAGGTTTTCATTGTGTAATTTTTAGATTAAATCATGATGATGATCTTCAGATTGTCATTCTTAATTTCCCACTCCACCCATCTCATTCGCCTGCCATTACTGGTATCAGAGTATATAGTAGAAAGGGAATAGTAATACTAGTCCTAAAATAAGTGGAAGCCACGCAACATTATTGGAATGATTAATGAAAAACTGTACTGCGCTAGTGGGTGTTATAGTCCAGCTGATCAGCTCATGTTATAGTACTGGCTAATAGAATCTGTGGTCTCCATGCCCCACCCAAAGTTGACAGCTGGGGTGGGGGAATGTCAAGGTTTTTTTTTTTTTTGCCACACCACATGGCATGCAGGATCTTATTTCCTCGACCAGTGATTGAACCTTAGTCCCCTGTAGTAGGCGTGTAGAATCTTCACCACTGGACCACCGGGAAGCCCCCCATGACATTTTAAAAATATTATTTCTTGAGTAGAAATTCTTTCTTCCTACCTTTGTATATGAAATAAAACTTTTTCCTCCAAAATTCAGACAATGGAAGATAATAATGATTACTGAGTTGGTGATAATAATATAATAGCCACTTTTTTTTTTAATGTCTCTCTGTAATAATGATGATAAAATCTTGTGTGTTAGTCGCTTAGTTGTATCCAACTCTTTGAGATCCCATGGACTGTAGCCCACCAGGCTCTTCTGTCTGTGGAATTCTCCAGGCAAGAATACTGGAGTGGGTTACCATTTCCTTCTCCAGGGGATCTTCCTGACCCAGGGATTGAACTCAGGGCTCCTGCATTGCAGGTGGATTCTTTACCACTGAGCCACCAGAGGAAGAGATAGTTCGTGTTCTCAGCAAATCCCCTGAGGAGAATGTCCTCTGTCCTTCCTTTTTCCTGCTACCAACTTTGTTCTGCACGTGTTGATTTGTAGGATCCTTGGGGAAAGGCTTTGGGTACAGAACTGATTTCTTTTTCCTCTTAAGAGTAAATGAATATTTTGAGTGAAGAATATAGAATATTCTTAGAAAAAGGGAGATAAATTGTTCAAGTTATTTTCCTAAAATCTAGTGTGTGAAGAAAACAAATCCAGCGAGTATGATGCCTGAAGCCTGGGGTTTGTGTTTTGTATATTTTAGCAAATGGAAATGGCGTGGCTCTATCTTTTCTAGTGAGGCTGGCTGGCTGACCTGGCTCTCCCTCCCTTTGGGATGGCCTCCCTGCTCTGGGTTAGCATAAACCAGAAGGCTTACAGTGGGTGTTTTTCCCTTACATGGTTTATCATCAGCATCAAGTGATTTGCAATTTATTTTTCCCCAAATACCCTTCACTAATTCTTTAGAGCATAAAATGCTAATGTGAATATTAAATTTATGTAGCTGTTGCGTGTCCTGTTTAAAATATTTTTCTAAATAAGCAGAGCCATATTTGTGCAAAGTAGTATGCACAAAGGCAAAGGAAAGACTACATTTTAGAGGCCATACACAGTAAGCTCGGGCCGATGATCAGATTAACTGTTGTGTTCTCACATTCTGAATAGTCCTCTTTTGTTCCCAAACAAAAGTTAACTTATTCATTTAATCATTCAACAGTTTATTTGTTGAGAGCCTGCTATTACCTGGCAGTATTCTAGGCACTGAAGATACTATAAATGAACCAACAATCCAAGTGCCTGGTCTCATGCAGCTTATATTCTAGTGGGGGAGGCAGATGGAAATAAAGTAAACATCGTATTTCATAGAATCTAAATTGTCATCAACTATAAGATGTACTGTTATTTTATATACCACCAAGAAAGGAAAGAATACCCAAGAGAGGCTAAAAAAGAGACCCCCCCCCACACAGTCATGAAACTGGGACCCCAAAAACCTGCACCTTCAGTGAGAAGAGAAACAAGGAAAGATTGTTCCACACAGAAAAGGACCTGAGGGCAGCTTGAATGTCTCAGCCTTGGCACTGAGCGAGGGGGGGAAAGAACACCTCCCCTGAGAATGTGAGCCAGAAGTCTGTCGTCTGAACTCACTCTACCAGTGTGACCTAAACAAAACTCTTAGACACAACTCAGTTCAAGTCGCCTCAGTTGGTGGCATTCCCAGGCCCTGGCAGAAGCAAATGCAGATCCCCTGAGGAGGGATTCCGTGTCATTCCAGGCCCCAGACAGTTTTAAGACAGCAGCAGTTTTTAGGACATCCTGTATATCAACTGTATTAAAGTCAGAAAACAAAAATATGTCTTGCAATCAACAAAAATATGGTACATAATATGTCAAGCAGTCATAAGTGCAGTGTAGAAAAATGAAGCAGCGTAAGGGTGTAAAGAGATGGGCCAGGGAGAGGAAGCATCCCCGAAAGTGATGGATGAGCAGAAGGGAGGAAGGAAGGAAGCAGGCCCTGAGGAACTGGGGGAGGAGTATTCCAGCCTGAGGCCCTGTTGTTGTTGTTTAGTCTCTGAGTCGTCTGACCCTTCGGGACCCCATGGACTGTGGCTGGCCAGGCTCCTCTGTCCATGGGGTTCTCCAGGCAAGAATACTGGAGTGGTTAGCCATTTCCTTCTCCAGGGGATCTTCCCGACCCAGGGATCAAACCCACATCTCCCGCATTGGCAGGTGGAGGTCATAGCACACCCCAGTCCCTTGGGTGAGGGAGAGTTGAGGTGTTTGAGGACTCAAGAGAGTGAAGCGGCCACTGTGACTGGAGTGGACTGGGGAAGGCCAGAGATCATTCTAGGAGATAAAGTCAGAGTGCAGAGGGCCTTAGGGTTCCACGGGACAGGCTTGGCTATAGAGGCTGTGCGTGCAGAGGGAAAGGCCCAGTCCCTGCCATCAAGCTCACCTCCTAGGAGAGGGGCAGTTAGCAAGTGGTGTTAAGGAGCCAAAATGGACTCTGATTTCTGGGTTTAAGAGCATAGAAGAGACTCACAGCCTAGAGCAGTTTACACTTTACACAGGATGATCAACTGCAGCTCTGATCTTCATAGTAACTGCCTCTTGTTTGTTCCGAGGTAAATTGGAGTGGCTTAGATATTCTAAACGATGGCTGTTTTATCTGAAGAAGAACTGATTTATAACTAGGAGTGATTTTTCTTGTTTATGTTCAGAAAGAAAGAAGAAAAACTAATGAACTCCAAAGTAAACCCTCTGTTTACCCCTGCAGTTTATAGTGTTGGTTCCCAGTCATTTACTCAGCCTTTCTGAGGACATGGCAATACCCTAAAGCAACAGCTCTCAAAGCTTTACACTCTTAGAAATTACTGAGGACCTAAAAGAGTTTTTATTTATGTGACTTATATCTATCAATGTTCACCATACTAGAAATTAAAACTGCAAAATTAAAAAAAATAGTTATTCATTCATTTAAAATAACAGTAAGGAACTCATTACATGTTAATATAAATAACTTGTCTTTAATGAAAAACAACTTGTTTCTGAAGAAAAATAGTTTAGTGAGAAGACAGACGCTGTAAATCTCTTTAATGTCTGTGTTAACAAAAGACAGTTGGATTCTCAGATCTGCTTCTGCGTTCATTCTGTTGTGATATCATATGTCAGGTAGTGTCTGGAAAATGCTTAACAAGATGAAAAAAGGCAAACAATATTTTAGAATTTTTATGAAAAGGGTTTGACTTCACAGACTGCCCTGAAAGAGGAGTCTTAAGGATGCCAGCGGTCCCCAGACCGCACTTTGATAACTGCTTCTCTAAAGACTCCACCTCACAATTTAATGGCAACATTTTCAAGAGGCCTGGGATATTGCACAATAGCCCTGGCATTTAACTCCACTTTCTAGTCTCTCCAAAGCCAGAAGAAATGGAGGAGAGATTACGTTATTATTCCCTTGCTTCTTTAAAGTTAGCTATTGTAATAGTTGTATTTGAAGTCTTTGGGAGAATAGACTAATATGCTTTTTTAAAAAGTGGGCTCCCCTGGTGGCTCGGTGGTAAAGACTCTGAGTGCCCATGCAGGAGACACGGGCTCGATTCCTGACCTGGGGATTAGTGCTTCGGAGCAACTGAGCCCCTGGGCCACAGCTACTGAGCTTGCACTCTAGAGCCCAGGAGCTCCAACTGCTGAGCCTGCGAGCAGCAACCACTGAAGGCCCTGCGCCCCTGGAGCCCGTGCTCCACAACGAGAGAAGCCACCTTAACGAGAAGCCTACACACCGCAACTAGAGAATAGCTCCTGCTCTCCACAGCTAGAGAAAAGCCCGCACAGCAACGAAGACCCAGCACAACCAAAAACAAATTTAAAAAAGAAGTATAAAAGATCATACTTTAAAAAAGGAAAAATGTGGTTGCCTCGTTTGTATCACCCAGTGAACTGGGCGGGCACTGGATAGCCCTGATAGGATGTGAATGGAAACACTGAACTGCTCCTGGGATGGGGAGGTTGGGGGGGGGGGCGTTGCCTTGCTAATCAGTCTGCACTTCCTTTCTATTGTGATCAGTTTCGGGCTTAGGTGGGACCTCCTCCATTTACTTCTAAGGGCAGCTTTCTGTGTAGAACAGGACTGGGATTCCAGCCCCTCTTTTATTGAAATTCTGGTTGGAGCAAATGGCATGGGTCCCAGAGTGGGGAATAAAAACCAGACCTGCAGTCCATCTCAGACAACTGAGCCGTGTATTTTACTATGGTTCTCGGGTCCTGGGACCTGGCGTTGTCAGTGCTGGGTCCTCACATGATATCACTGCTTCACTGTGGGCCATTTCAGCCCAGGGCATTGGTCAGCTGAAATGACAGTGGACCCAACTGCCAGAGGAAAGCAGGGGTTGGGGGTGCCCTTTGAAGACTTGTCTTTCTTTTTGAGTTTCTCCAGGACTACTGTACCTTTTAGAAGAGTCCTTGAGGGGAATTCCTTGGCAGTCCAGTGGTTAGGTCTCCATTCATGTTGTTACTGCCAAGGACCTGGGTTCAGTCTCTGGTCGGAGAACTAAGATTCCAGAAGCCACATAGCATGGCCAAAAAAAAAAAAAAAGAGTCCATGAATTGACATGCTGTCTTCTTCTGGGAGGTCACAGATGGTGTCTCCAGTGACAGAGGATGCCACAGAAGATAAGCGGAAGGCAGCTGGTGCCGGAGAGGCTCAGGCCTCGGTGGAACAGGAATTGCTGTCTGCAGAACAGACCCAGATCCTCAGCAAGGTCGGGAGCACATTCTTTCTCTCTCTCTGAAAAGCACACGTTTGGACGCCTTTGGATAGATTAGAATTAGAAAGCACTGTCATCTCACGTTTAGTTATGTGGGGAACAATCATGTGTATCATTCCCAGGCTCATCACTGTACTAGCACCCAGTAAGCATCTGTTAAAAAAATGAAGGGTTATAATGAATGTTCACATGCTCTCTAAAATCTTCTCCATCTGAGGAGGCCTTAACCATTGGATTATGTATTAGTCTCAGTTTTCTTGTGGTAGATCTACTTGGGATTTATGGTCAAGATTCCATAGAAGTGGTGCTGATAGCAGTGGTCTCCCTGCCTTGGAGGGAAGGGTTGTTTGTATCATTATTAACATATACATTATGTATAATGTATACATATATACAGAATACATTATGTATAATATATACATAGTAACATATACAGAGTAACAAATGGTGTTGGTGTCAGTAAAGACAACGCCAGGCATTATAATTACATTTCTATAATGCTTTATCATTTACAAAGCATTTTTTTTTCTATTTATTTTTTATTTAATTTTTACTGGAGTATAGTTGATTTACAATCTTGTGCGAGTTTCAGGTGTATAGCAAGGTGAATCAGTTATACTAAGATATATATCCCTTCTTTTTTTTTTTTTTTTGGTTGCAATGTGATTTTTTATTTTTATTAGTTGGAGGCTAATTACTTTATAGTATTGTAGTGGTTTTTGTCATACATTGACATGAATCAGCCATGGAGTTACATGTATTCCCCATCCCGGTCCCCCCTCCCACCTCCCTCTCCACCCGATCCCTCTGGGTCTTCCCAGTGCACCAGGCCCGAGCACTTGTCTCATGCATCCAACCTGGGCTGGTGATCTGTTTCACCCTAGATAATATACATGTTTCGATGCTGTTCTCTTGAAACATCCCACCCTCGCCTTCTCCCACAGAGTCCAAAGTCTGTTCTATACCTCTGTGTCTCTTTTTCTGTTTTGCATATAGGGTTATCATTACCATCTTTCTAAATTCCATATATATGTGTGAGTATACTGTAATGGTCTTTATCTTTCTGGCTTGCTTCGCTCTGTATAATGGGCTCCAGTTTCATCCATCTCATTAGAACTGATTCAAATGAATTCTTTTTAATGGCTGAGTAATATTCCATGGTGTATATGCACCACAGCTTCCTTATCCATTCGTCTGCTGATGGGCATCTAGGTTGCTTCCATGTCCTGGCTATTATAAACAGTGCTGCGATGAACATTGGGGTGCACGTGTCTCTTTCAGATCTGGTTTCCTCAGTGTGTATGCCCAGAAGTGGGATTGCTGGGTCATATGGCAGTTCTATTTCCAGTTTTTTAAGAAATCTCCACACTGTTTTCCATAGTGGCTGTATTAGTTTGCATTCCCACCAACAGTGTAAGAGGGTTCCCTTTTCTCCACTCCATTTTTATCCAATAACATTTCATTTACCCCTGAGAACAACCCAGTGAGATAGGTACTATTATGTTGCCATTTTACAGATGAGGAAACTGTGGTTAAGAGCTGTTATTGACTTTACTAAGTCTATGCAGCTAATAAGTTGCAAGCTAAATCTTTGTTTAACCTTCTGGAAAAGGAAGGACTCATTTAAGGAAGTTAGTCAAAGTCTGGTTTAACTCATTTAATAGTGGTGATAAGAGCTGAAGGACTCTCTAGAAACAGATATTATGAGAATATAATCTGGGAGGATTACAGCATTCATGTATTCATTGATTCATTTATTTCTTGCAAATATCATTCTGACTCCTTGACTGGAGTCACTGATGTGAGCTGTCTCACTGTTGGGCGCTTCCATGTCGGCAGTAGGTGTGCACTTCTCCTTGAGTTGCCTGCCAACTGCTTGGAGAAGGAGCAGGAGATTAAGGCACGATGGTGTGAAATAGGGGAATGCTAATCTGAGTGATGTGAAGTGAAACCCACTAGGGAGAGGCCGCCGGCTCCTGCTCTGGGTCACTGAGGGCTGGGAGTATCGATTGACATTTGCACTCTTCTATGCAAGTCAGATGTCTGGCAATGGGTATGCTTAAATGCAAATCCTGGGGCTGGTCTAAGGTGAGCTTGTGATTATTTATAGAACATTGATGGTGGATGAGACAGGCTATGTCGGGTGAGACATCCAGGGTGTGCCATGGGTGAGAGATGGGGACAAAGGGAGCCAGAGAGTAGGAGCCAGGTTCTCTCTCTGCAGTACTTTGGTGGACTGATGGACAGTGAACTGGAAATAACCTCTGGATGGAAATTGTAGCAGGAGGACGTGCGGCTGAGTGAAGGCCCAGACGCACGAGCTGTCCTGAGAGGGGCTGTGGGGAGGGTCTGTGCAGGCGTGGCCAAGAAACACTATGGATGGGAAAGTCAGTAGCAAACCTTGAGGATGTTTGTGCGCCAGGTTTTTATGAAGAGTGAAGTGGGAAAGTAGCAAAAAGCTGGAGAGAACATTTCATGTTCTCTAATTAGGGAACATGTTGGTGGCATGAAAATAAAAGTGGGTAGAGTTTATTACAACCTGTGGCTGGAGGAGAGAAGAGGAACGTCGACCAACGGGAGTCAGGAGACTTGAGTTGGGAGAGTGGAGGTAATAATAAGGCAGGGCTGGCAGGCTTCACTTGGAAAGAGGCTAATAGGAACCTGCCTTTGTATATGTCCTGTGACCAGAACTCTCTTGTGCAGATGGCCAAGTACCACGGCCCACAAAGGTCTGGGGACATCGTGATGATCCAGTCTGAGCACACAGGAGCTGTTGATATTCTGTCAGCTGATTTGGAATCTGCAGACCTGCTGGGGGACCATAGAGGAGGTGAGACTTTGGGGGCATGGAATGTGTTTCTGTTTTGTTCCTATAGGTACTTAAAGAAGGGCAGGCAGATAGATGGAAGGAAGGAGAAAGCATAAGATTACATGTGACAAAAAGAGGAAAAACAACCAGTGTCTGAATACTGCATTCTGAATAGAGTAGGCTCTATTCAGTTTATATATATATAAATATATATATATATTTATATATATATATATGGTACTCTATTCACTGTATATCTATATCTATATATAGATATATATAGATATGTCTGGTATTCCATCCTGGTGTGTGTGTGGGTGTGTGTGTGTATAGATAAATATATATATATATTTATTTATAATTAAGTTTAAAAGAGACCTGTTTCTTGAACTGAGCAGCTGACCCACCTCAGGACAATGCTCCCTCCTTCCTTGTGAACGGAAGTCAAGGAAGCCAGTAGGAAGAGCGTCTTTGACTGTGACCACCTCCCCTAAGCAAAAGGCTGGGTGTGGCAGTGTTTCCTCAGGGTTTCTTTCTCAGTAGTAAGTGGCCTGTCCTTTCAGTCTCCCCGCCTCTGATGGCTCCTCCGTGCATCTGGACCTTTGCCAAGATGAAGGAATTCAAGAGCAAGCTGAGCAAGGAGAAGAACAGCCGTCTGGTGGTGAAGCGGGGGGAGGTGGTGACCATCCGGGTGCCGACCCACCCAGAGGGGAAGCGAGTCTGCTGGGAGTTTGCGACTGACGACTATGACATTGGCTTTGGAGTTTACTTTGACTGGACCCCAGTAACCAGCACCGACATAACGGTGCAAGTCAGTGATTCCAGTGAGGACGAGGACGAAGATGAGGAAGACGACGAGGCACTCGAAGGTACGTTGAACTTGAACATAATTTGCGGTCTCCTTTCCAAGTTCAGCCTAATTTCTAGCGACCACCAGGTGATCACTTCCTGCCTTGTACCAGTCCTCCTGTTTCTGAGAATGCAGGCAGAGAATCCCTTTCAGCTTTGCAAGCCAAGTTGAGTGATGCAGGCTGAAGTCAGACCCTCAGATAACGTTCTGGTGGTGTAGCAGTGATGCCTTAGAGGAAGGCTTCTGTTCTTTTTAATCGGTACCTGGCTGTGTTGCCCCCCCCAGGATCTCCTGGGGACAGGGGTGGGTTGGGGGCAGGGAAAGGGGTGTTGTAGAGGCAGTGTTTTTCAGATCACATATGTAAACCTGAGATTATTTTATACTTCTCTCTTAGGGATATTTATATATCTTTCTCTGTGGGATATTTACATTTCTTCTTGGTCTGGAACCAAGCTGAGTGATTGCAGTTTGCCAAACATACCCATTCTCTCCTCCTTCCAGACCGTCACAGCTGGCTGACTACTGTTTACTTCTTCATTTGTGCCCAGAGCAGTTTTAAAAATAGTCTCTGTGCTATGTTCCAGTCCTTACTCGCAATGGCCCTAAGGCTGCCCTTTTTTTGTTTTTAAATAAGCATTAGCCTTATTCCTTGATTTTCCCATACCATCTTACAGTCAACCCCTTAACTTGCTTCTTCAAGTCTATATGGAAGCCTGCATGTATTCAAGAAGGAGGAGAACCTAGGATTTTATCTGCTGCTCCTCGGGACCAGTAGGGGTTTGGGGGTCACTTGCTATAGCACCTTTACCTGCATTTCCTACTTCCTTTAGCTAGTTTTTTCACTTGTTGAATCTGCCCTTCCAAATATCTTGCTCTCCCCCTTGGAAATTTCCAGATACTCCTTGGAAATTTTCAGATGCTCCTGGAGCTAGGAAGGCTCTGTAAGGCTAAATCATTGTTTCTCAGTGCAAATACTGTTGGCATTTGGAAGGAAACACTTCTTTTTTGAGAAGGTACTATCCTGACGTTTAGCACTCCTGAGCCCTTGAGCACTAAATGCCGGTATCACCCACTGGTCACTCTGATGGCCTAGTTGGAGGCCACCAGACATTTCCAAATGCCCCGTTGGGGGGGAAGCCACCGGGTTGTTACCTGGTTCATCTTCTCGCCTTCAGGCAGGCCTCTTTGGTCTCCGAATTCATAGCCGAACACTCTGCCCTTTGCTCATGCAGACCCCGTCCCAGCTGGAGACGTGGAGCGAGGCTCTAGGAGCTCCCTACGGGGCCGCTACGGGGAGGTCATGCCCGTGTACCGCCGGGACAGCCACCGAGACGTGCAGGCCGGCAGCCACGACTACCCCGGCGAGGGCATCTACCTGCTGAAGTTCGACAACTCCTACTCCCTGCTGCGCAACAAGACTCTCTACTTCCACGTCTACTACACGAGCTGAAGGCCCGCCGGGACAGGACGCGGGTGGCGTGCGCTGGCTGGAGCAGGCTGCCGGCTGGGGCCTCTTGTCCTGGATAGGCAAGGGCTCCAAGCTGAGCGTGGGGCACCCGACCCTCACGCCCTGCCTGGCGGGCCTGACTGTTGACCCCATCCATGTAGCTTTGCCCCGTCCTTGGCTTCCGCAGATGGTGGCTTGGTACCCCTGCTCTGTGGTCCCTGACTCACGCTCTTGTTGCTTCCGACTCCAGCAAAATCTCTCTGCGGAGGACACCCGTCAGGCCAAAAGCCTAAGAGGAAGTTGGGTGTTGCCTTTTCAAAATAGGTTTGTTTTGGTTCCAGGTGTATGCTTTCAACTGCTGTGCTCTCCTTTTCCAGAGCCTTCACGCAGGCGAGTTTAGTGGCCACCCACTCTCTTCACTTTTCGGAAGGACTGAAAGAGGGAACAGCACACTGTCCGTGAAGGAGCCCAGTCTTGGGGACGCGGAAAGCTCTGGCCAGCCTCTCACCACTGCCGTATTCCCGCCTGCTGGTTCTTCCCGTTCTCTAGCACGGGCTGGGAGCCCTCACTGCCTCTGAGGGCGTGGTGATTTCACCCTGCCTCTCTCCTTCTCTCCTCTTTTCCCTTATCTAAGTCTGTGTCCCTGCCATCACAGCAAGAACTTCCATGCAGTCCAAAGTGATGATCCCTGTAGTCTAAGCTCTTCTGGGAAGCAAAACTGCCTCCATCACTTCCTATTTCAAGAGGCGGTGTCCCTTTCCAAGGGTCCTGGGGGTGGAAGGGGGAAAGGGTGGAAATTAGGTACTGGATTGATCTCAGATGCCACATCTCTGGAAGTCAAGTGTTACTAAATGATTTTTATGTATAATCAAAGAAGGAGGGGGAGATCATCTGAGAGAAGAAACAACACTCCAGATTCCCTACTGCTTTTTTTTTCTTTTCAGTCTTTAGAAAAGGGGTGATATTTAGAAATTTTGCTTTGGGACCAGTCAGTTTTCCTAAGTTTCTAGATGTCTGGGTTGCTTGCATTCAGGGCTGCAGGCTTTTGGTGCTCAAAGTCTCGAAGGGGAGGTGGTCATGAAGCTTCACTGCTGCTGCTGGTCAGCTTTGTTCTTTTACCAGGCTGAAGCCTGTACGTTCCCTGGGGACGGCCTTTTCCACGCCATGAAGCTGGCATGCTGCGGGGAGCTGCCTCCCGTGTCCCCAGAGGCACGTGGTAGCCCAGCCCCCTCCCCATGGCCTAGGAGGAGGCAGAGCAGGGACCACTGTGACCGTCTGTACCTCCTCCTCTCTTATTCTTTGCTTTAAGCCTGTTACTACTGCCTTAGAATTCCGAGGAAGAATTAGGTTTATTTATTACTTTTATTTATTGTTAAAGCCACATTTCACTTCGCCTTTGAAACAGTTCCTGTTTCTCAGAAGGCTTTCACCTGCTCTGAGCCACTGAGGCCCCCTCTCCTGTGGAGTCTAAGATGCAGATTTCGGGCGAAGTCAGGGAGGGCTGACGTTCCACTACCATGGGGTCAGTCCCTGTGAGGCTCTGGGAGGGGCCTGCCCCTCCTGAGATGGACGGATGACGCCCCCCCCCCCCCCCCGCAGCCTGCTGCCCCCAGCACTCCCTGCGAGGAGCTCTAGGTTGTGAGGGAATCTGCCCGTTTGCCCAGGATTGAGTGAGTGTAGAGGACTTGACCAGCCAACCAGAGGCATCCCGTGATGCCAGGACTGCCAAGTCCTCCACCTGCTCCTCCACTCTGAGGAGTCAGCTGCGTCACGATGCTTCCTTTGGCTCCTTCCTTCCCTGTGTGGGAGCCTCACACCACGCCTCCCCTCTGCACAGAAGCAGAAACTCAGCGACCAGGGCTCCTCATGACGGGTCCGTGGCAGCACCTATGTCACGAACAAAGGGCGCTAGAGCCACACCTTCTGCTTCTCTGGGAGCACAGCCCCAGGTGGGAGAGGAGGCCGGGGACTGCTGTAGCATCCCTCCTCCTCCAAGCGGCCTCATACCTCCATTACTTTACGTCTGAGTGCTTTCTATAGAGGGTTATACACTGGCCCACATTTCCATGCCCTGTAAGAAGTTAGGAACTATTCGAGCGACTGCCTGTTGGGGCACTGAAAGCAAACTCGCTGTGCGGCCATCACATCAGGTAGCTGTGTGATCATCACTGAAATTGAATCATGCCTTAGCTAAGTGAATAGAATATTTATAAAATAATTTTCTACTGAGCTCTTCTCCAGTCAGCTAAAGCCTGGCTTATTTTTCCTGTTTATTGTTAACTTCTGACTTTCTCTTAAGACGGAGCTGTCGGGTCATAGGAGGCTCCCTAGGATGACACTTCCTGTTGTTGATTTTTGCCACGAGAGTCTCTGTATCCTTCTTTTCTTTAGAATCCTAGTTCTGTTGCATCAGGGAAGCCTGAGGGACTTGTTCCCATTGCCTCAGTGTGCCTCTTATTTGTCTGGTCACTTTTGAAGTCCTGGACATTGTTATATTTCATTCTGTACCGGTGTTTCGTTAACAGTCAGTGCTGCTTTGATCCATTCACACACGGACACAAAAATAGCTAAAAAAAAAAGATATTTTCACATCTAATGAATTTACTATCCCATATTAAGTCATCTGAAATTATTGAACTTTAGGGACAAAATATTACTTATAAAACTCATGTAATTACTGAGAATTTCAAGGTCTGGCAAATCCTAAGAGGTAGTCACTTCCTTAGTCTCTCTCTGTCTCAGTTTACAGAACCAAACAATGAAGTGAAAATTACTTGCTTTTACCTTCACCCTGTTCTTTAGAGCATAAATATTAACGTACAATGGAAAGAAAGTACTTCACAGTAGGAGAGACTGGAATTCTCTCCACAAGGTGGCCAAGTTCTTAAGTTTCTTTGGTTTATTTAGTTTTGCTACTTTGTTGAGAGATGGGGCTTTTAGAAAGTTTAGGGTATTAATTTTTCTCAACATTTTATTATGAAAAATTCTCAGCAAACAACATTTAAAAGAAGTATAGTATAAGCACCCTTATGTATATCCATCACATAGATTTTAAAATTATAAACTGTTAACTTTTAAACAAAGATGATTCTGCCATTCTGTTCCTGTCAAAAGTATTCCCTTCTTTTTCCTTCACAGACATCAGTTCTCCAGTGTCAGAGAGCTCCTGGTTTTTAGCAGACTCACCTCATTCAGTGCCAGTTAACTGGGGAGGTGATCCTCATGAAAATGTTTCCTGTTCTCCATCTTTCAGAACTCATGCTGTATTTCCCCTTTCCCTTAGGCTCTAAAAGCTAATGTTTTCTTCTCTTTCTGGCATGTCAGAGTGAAGGTAATTGTGAAACTACTTTCCTCGGAAGGACTTTTTTCTGATCTCTGTTGCTTTCCAACATATCCTCAGGACTGAAATTACACTTGGATCCTCAGACATAATGTAGCTTTAAAATGGAAGTAGGCAGTAACTTGAAATTAGGCCATTCTTAGTTTTTTTTTTTTTTTCTTAATTGATTCATGCACTTTAAAATATTTTTTATCTGTTATTTAGGAAAAAAAATCTTATACTTTTAAAAAGTATATATTGTCCCTTATAATATATATATGAAGAGTTTTAACTGAAAGCTTCCTGAAAGCTATCTTAATCAGTGGGTTTGGATATTATTGTAAAACATCATTTACAGAAAGTACCTGTATGTTTTTCATGAGCCCTATCCAGTCCCTCTTTGAAAGAAATTAGGTGAAACCCAAACCCAACGTATTTTTATGTTTATTTTAAGACCACTTTTCTGCAGAAGGTTGCCTTTTAACCCCAAAGTATAAGGTTCTAAGGCACAGAGCTGAGTGACCCCTAACATTTAAACAAAAGGCTATTGTTTTAGACGAAGGGATAGGAGTGAAAGGGTTTGTGCAGCTTGAGAACTGCGTTTTTTTTTTTTTTTTAACATTGATAGTAAGGAATGAAAACGAGAGAAAGAGAGAAAAGCTATCAAATGTATCCCAGAATCTTGCTCATAATTCTGATTCTGTGTAGTTCTTTAGTTTGCATTTCATCCATTGGAATTTGTCTTTTGTCCAGAAACCTCACTGGTTCTCACTGTGCTTGTTGGAGACATCCCAAACTCACTTTACTTTCTTTTCCAACAAGATCGGCTTTAGAAATATTTTTGAGTAGGTCTCCTCTGCTAAGGGTAACCCTGACCTGAGGATTGATTTCACCTCTATACCCTGTGGGACTTGTGGGTCCAGCACCATGGAAAAAGATGGTGACTTTAGAAAGGCTAGGAGGAGTTCCTGCTATGTCTCCGTAGCCTCAATTGGTTTTGACTATGGCCAAAAAGGGATGAAACAGATTCATTTTGACCAACATCCTGGAATAGCTTCAAGCCACAAAACTTTTTGTGAACGAGCTGTGTCCTCTGTAGGCTGACCTCCCTGTGAGGGGTAGGAATCTCATTCCATCTGTGTGGGCCAGTCATACACAGTCAGTGGGACCAACAGACAGACACAATTTGGTCTTCCTTTTAAAGCCTCCATTTAGAATCTCTCCTGGGTCAAAAAAGTTCACACCAACCTCTTTAGTCTCTTTCCACCTAGCCAAAAGCATAGACCTTTTGGAAGCCTGAATTTGCTAGAAGCGGAAAGGGCACCGACCCTATAGACTCTCAGTGGTTGAAAAGAGTTGGAAAGTGAGTTTCTGTATGAAGGAAGGTGGTCTCATTTTTTGTGGTGAGGGGTAGCTTGTTAAGGGATTCATGCTCTTTAGAGAGCAAGTCCTTGTATTCATTGTATCTGATTGTGCTCACGGAGCCACGATCATGATTCTTTGGGGAGTAAGTAGGGGATGGGTGTTTAAAACTAGTCACAAGTTGGGTGCTTCCCAGCAACCCAGTATATGGTGAGTGTCCCTATGACCAAAGCCCCAGTTTTCATGCACATGGGATCCTGTCCCTAGGCGCTCATTTCCAGACAGCTGAGAGACACAGAGAGGGGCTAGACCCCCTCCTCTT